CGGGAAAAACCGCTTTACTACCATTTAGTGATAAAATTACACACAATTATAACCAAAGTTTCAATTTGCCTCAAATAATTGAGGTTTTGGTGAAAAAAAGCTAAAAAACACGAGAAATTATAACGGACATGTGCAGCGCCCTTTTACCGCTTCTGATAATTTACACAAAATTATCCGTCTTACATTGTTTTTGTTGACCAATATTAATAAATTGCTTCGTTTATTTTATAAAAAGTTTCAAAAAAACAAGTACAACAAAATAACGAGTCATTTATCGCTTGCTTGACAGGCACTTGAAAAACCGCTGGGAATGGATGCACTCACGTTCAGTTGGTGAGTATGTCCAAAGTGCGTTTTTCCAGTTTGGCTTTGAAATGCATTTCTGAGCGAATGAGGAATCCAACAAGAGGGGGTGTGAAATAAAGGTGCAGTCTGTCTTTGCTGAGAGACATTGAAAAGTGGTGTATTAAAAACATGTGCTGGCCCATACATTTACTATGTTGCTCCAGAGGTAATAGATTTTACTGTTGAGTATTTGTTTAATGGATGATTAAAAAATTGAAAAAAATTATAAAGGAGTGAAAGGGGGTGTGAAAAAAAGGTACACTCGCGGGTTAGTGTTTTTGAGTTTTTTTATTTCTGCAAAAAATTGAAAAAATATTTAATAAAAAGTTCATTATATTTGGTAAATTCTGAGTTGTTTTTTTTGGTTATTTTGGCTTCAAAGAACAGTTTCGAAGTCAATTTTTCTTGCTTCTCCTTTTATCGTTCGGCAAATCCAGCCTTTACTTTACATAAAAAATAATTCACAAATTTCAATAACAAACATCGGCATCTTGAAAAGGTCAGAGAGACTCTTGTAAACCTTGTTTTTTTGAATCAAATCGAGGAAAAGGAAAAAAATAAACTATTCAAAAAACTATAATCATATTATCATTTAACCATTAAATTATCAAAAGCGGTTTTTTTCCACCCCTTTATATCAAATAATATATATTGGTAATAATAATTATTTAAAAACAATTCTTTGAATAAAAAAATTAGAAAATTTTTAGATTATTTATCATTATTCATTTCAAATATTTTTAATAATCATACGAAAGAGATAATAAAAATAATTTTTCATATTTCAATAAAAAATACACTTTGTTATTAAACAAACACATAACAAGAGTTTTCCATTTTTTCAAATTATAAAAACACAAAACATATCATTTTAGACAACAATATTCAAAGTATATGGTATACTAAACTATTATATTATTGTTTTGAAATACTTGGGTTTGTTACATTCTAATTTGGCTTTAAATTCGCAGTTTAAAATTATTTTCTTAAGTTGATTTTTTAAAATATCGCATTAATGTAAAAATGTTTTTTTGTTCTTGAGAGGTTTTACTGTAGTTGGTAATTGTAGTTGCCTGTTATGTCTTTGATTATAATAAAATTTTAAACATTTACAGTTTGTATAAACCAACATATTCTAGAACAGCTATATACCACAAAAATCAAAGCAAACCAGAGTTCGTTCAAGAAGGAACAATAGTAACTTATTTGTAATATTTATTTCATTTTGACAAATAAAATTTACATTATATTTATTATATTGTGATATAATTCCCATAGCAACCAACTGTTTTGAATTTAAACCCCAAAAACTTTCTTGTTAATATAATCATGCAAAAGAATGACAAAAGGTATAAAATTATTATGTTAGGGGATTTTGAAGTAGGTGTGTTTTGCGTGTAGATAAACTTTGGTTATAAATTAACGTTAGAATTATCACGTTGTATTCTTATAACTAAATTGGACATTCAACAAACGTTTAACTATTAGGGAAAACTTGTATTCTCGTCAGATTTTATTACCACTACTTTTATAATCATAAACATACAACTACATTGATAAAATTTCCATGTCAAATGATGTTTGTGTTATACTCAAAACATTTACAAATAATTTAAAAAAAAATAAACGTATTATCATAAATAACACACAGAAAAACACCAAAATATAAAGTTTATCTCGATTTGGCAGATACATTAGGAGAAGAAAAATACAGACAACAAGATTCAACGTATTATAATGAAGTAATGGGCGCAATAATAGTTTATTCTGTCACTTCTCGTAATAGTTTCGAAAGTTTGGACTATTGGATTGACTTGATCACTAAAGAAAGAAGTGGTGATATATCAATTGTACTTGTTGCAAGTAAATGTGATCTTGAAAAGGTAGTCTCAGATGAGGAGGGTTTAAGATATGCTGAACGAGTCGGATATCCCCTTGTTTTCTGTTCTTCAAACACTGGAGAGGGTATTAATGAAATCTTTTTTAATGCAGCTTTTCCAAATAGAGAGTTTACTTATCCTGATAAAAGGGTTAAAATAGTTGAATGGTATGATTATATGGTGCCAAAATGTTATATCTGCTAATTCAATTTTTGTTTCATTGTTTTTAATCATTTGTTTTTTAAATTGACTTTTAATTGTTATAACAAATTATTTAAAACAATTAGCATTAAATAACATTGTAGTCGATTAACGATATTCTATTGTATTTAAATATCTATTTGTTCTGACTTATTAACACTTTTCTAATCGAAAACGAATTTTTTAATAAAGGGTGAGGAAATTTTTATTTGTCTTGAAATTTGGTTTTGTAATTCTTTGCTTAACACCTAAGACTCTCAAAAAAATAGAAAAAAAGAAAAACATTTTTCAAAAAAAAAGTTTTTAATTCCAATTTTTCAATTTGAATTTTAAACTCCAGTTTACTCTAAAATGTCTACAATTGTAGACAAATAACATTTCAAATAACAAAACACTCATTTAATTTTACAAACGTTCTGCAAGCACTTTTTGCAGACCACAATGGAAAAACCACGGTTTTGGCAGTATATTTTTCCATGAATTCCATGTGTGTTATTTGTGGTTTGTTAGCTTTCCAACAATAAAACAATTTGTCAAAATACTGTTTATCAAATCGTAAAAACATGCAAATGGGAACCTGTTTAATTTGTGTTGTATATTGATATAACTGATTAATTGGTCAAAACGATCAACTCCACATTTGAAGAAATTGTAAATCGAAATCATTTTCGGTTTTTTGGTTTTGTTGATGTTGACCAAGAAATCTGGCTGTGGTAAAGTTGTCACAAGTTGAACTACTTTTGTTTTGGTTGATTGATATCGAACCAGTGTCAAACGATTGTCTGAAAGAAATGAAGATAAATACAGTCCTTCACTTGCCGGTTTGTACGTTTGCTATTTTTGAGGTAAAAATGTTCTGTTGCTTCTAAAAGTACCAATAAAATATAAACTGTACTATGTCAAAGTTTCGATCACTTCTTCTGATGTGTACAAATTATCAACAACCAACAATCGGTTGGTATTTATAAAACAATTTGATATTGATTTTTTAACTGTCATTGTGAGTTTACATTGAGGTAGTAAGCCACTTTGTCCAATACTTTTTCTTCTTGAACACGAATGTTCAATCTTCTTGTCTTTTTTCATAGACTTTTGTTTTTTATAAAGAGTTTTTACTTTCTCTAATTCGTTAATTAAATAACTTTTTTTTCGTTTGAACATTTGTTCAATCTTGGCATTTTCAATTCCTTTCTGTAAAAAATTTATTTGTTTTTTCAATTCCTTTGGAATTAAAATAGATTTTTCACACAAATTAAACTTATGTTGTTCTTCTATTTCTGTTTTGTCCAGTAAATTTGCAACAACAATTTCTTTTGATTCTTTTTCTTCATTATTAACTTCAAAACAACTAATCTCCATTTCTTTGTCTTTTTCCTTATTTTTATCATTTATTATTTGTGATAATTGTTCATTTTCAAAGAATTCAGACTGCAGTATAACACCTATTTCACCGAGATATTCTTTTATTATTGGTATTTTACCAAACAGGAACACAGGTTTCACACGATCGTTTTTTTCTCGAAAATGGCACTTGGTACAAACAATAACCTGTCATTGAATCATTTAAGCAATCAAATCGTATTCCACGTTTATGAGACTTATCTTTCATGTTTACAGAATCATAAAAGAATCCAGGATATGGACATATATGTTCATCTAATGTTAAATATGTTGAGGGTGTGTATAGTTGTAAAATTTACTGTTAAATAAATTTCACAACTCGATAACGGTGCCAAACTCAATTCTATGTATCTAATGTCTCTAGAATTACATTCATCAAATCTTAAACAACTCTTTAAATAGACAAATCTGTGATAAGTCATTCCTTGTATTGAATTATTTAAGAACCAATTTTTGACATTTTTACATTTGTTATCAACTCTCATTTTTATAAGCACTCCAACAAACAAATCCAACTCCATTTCAGAAAATAAATCAATTGTGTAACTATAATCTTCAATTTCTTTAATGTTTTCCAAATACTTTAAAGGTATCAGAAGTTTATTTAAATCATCATCTATGACATAATCCAATTTATAAATTCTGAAAAACTTCTATAAAAATCCGAAAAGAAAAAAGCGAGTTTGACGTTTTTGTTAAAAGTGGCAATTAATTTCAAATATGACAAATTTGGATATTTTGTTATCAATTGTTGATTTGCGTTAACAAAATAGTCGTAATCAATGTTTTTATACTCTTCAAATAGAACAAAATTGTTGGTTAATCTATTTTCTGATAAAATACAATATACTTGAAGTTGTTCATATTTGTTTATAACCTTTTTCATCTGTTTAATTTTATAAATGTTTTACTCAATGGGAATTCTTTGATTTGTACAATAAATAACTTTTTCTTTAACCTTTTTATCAAATAAACTGTCAAAAATATTTTTCTTTTCAAACAAGATGCTGTTTTTTAATTTTGTGTCTATATTTATTGTTGGCAACAGTGTTGCCAAAGAACCGGCAGTTTTTTGGGGGATATCTTTGTATTCGTGTAGACCATTTTTACTGTTTTCATTAATTCCTTTCGAAATGACTGTTTCAAACTCCACATTATGTTGTTGATTTTCTTTGTATTACATTTGTTTTTGTTCGTGGATAAAGTGCCTCAAAGTAATAAAGAATTGGTATCCGGTGTTCCTTGTTTAAACATTTGTTTGTTTGTTCCAACGAGATTTTCAATTACAGTTTGTTCAAAAAATTCGTGTTCAATGTTTTTATTTTCAACAACACTATCCTGTAATGACATATAATTGAGATTTTTAGTTTCGACTTTAAAATTAGTTGACAGAAAAATCAATAATTGTTGCTTGGCATTCTATGTGTTGTGGTATTTTTTATTTGAAAATATAGGTTAAACATTTCAAATATGTATTTCATTTGCAAAATTGTCAATTGTTTTATAATATTTACCCGATTATTTAGATTATAAAAGACTGTCTACATTTGTAGACATTTTGAACCATACCAGAGTCTTAGGTGTTAAGAAACCCCTTCAAAACTGAAACCATTAAACGGAGAGTATTTTTTTTATTTAAATAAAATGTAAATTAAAACTAAATTGTGTAAGAGTTGGTAAAAAATGTGTTAAATACCAACACGCAGAACAATTTCATTATAAACCCCAAATATTTTTAAAACAAAAGAAATTGTTCATCGTCATTGTGTTTCTAGTGTTAGTCTTTCAACTAATTATATGGTGATTCTTTGCAAAACACTTCATGGTGATTTGCTTGTAACTTTTATTCAGTTTTTGTCTTTTTGAAGTAAACAACAAAATAAATAAATTTAACTTAAAATTTTAAAACAAAACCATAATTTACTAACAGTTTTATTAGAAGTTTTAATTTTTCAATTCAATTTGGTC